TGGGGTTGATTTAGAGGGGAAGGGGGGAGAGGGAGGGAGAGAGAGCAGAAGAGGAGGGGGAAGGGCTTGGGGGAGGGGGAGAGGGAAGGTGAGCGGGAGGAGAAGTGAGAAGCAGACACAAGATTACGGATCGGCTGCCGCAAAGATACTAGATTGATCTGAACCAGCTCAAGAATTACCATTTTGAATTCTTAAACTAGGGAAGACTGCGCGAAAGGAGTGAGAAACTTGAGTGAATGCACGTCCCTCTTGATCCAAGGTCCACTCCTCAGAAGGCCTCGCCAGGAAGGTGAGTGGACCTTGCGTGAAGGGCGTCCACTTCACTTCCTTTGCATCGTCATTTCTGCAATGGCCGAGGCTGGTGGGGGCTCGCCGAGGCCAGGAATCTGCAGCCTCACGTCATGCTGGAGCCTCTGCTGGGCTCCGAATTCTCAGATGCAGTGTATTGGGGTGATCATGTGGCCAAGGTGGGCAGTTGTCTTGCTCCAGTATAATTTTGCTACATTGACAGTCAGTGTTACTGTTACAGGGTAACCCCGTGTGAACTGGGCTGCTTGTCTGTGGGGCCTCACCCCTGGCTTAAAATTTACTTGTACTGCAGACACACACACAAGGGTCCATAATGGGTTTATTTACAAAAAGGGGAAAGGAAAAGGAACAACCCAGGGAAAGAGGAAGAGATACAAGTTAACTAGAGTATCTTAGCAGATCGGCTGACATGGAGCTTTAGTAACAAACCAATAGTTCCCAGTCACAGGGTCCCGAGAGAGCAATTGCCCCAGAGAGAGAGCCATTGCCTCTCCCCCAGCAGTTGAAAATCGCTCCCTATTTATCCCCCAAAGTCCCAGCATGCCTGCTTAGTTCCGCCCTTGGGTCCTCGCAGTTCTCTCCCTGGTGCTGCTGGGAGTTATAGTTTCCAATCACTGGAGTAGGGTGTAGGGTCCAGAAGGCTGGAGTAGGGGGTGGAGTCCACAAAACTCTTCAGAATTCCTTTAGGACATCCTTCCCCTTGACATTACAACACTCATGGATTAAAATTACACAGTAATTCCTAAGAAAAAGGAAATTAAATGATCTGATTTCAATTTTCACAAGGTATTAAAAACTAAAAATTATTATCCTCATGTATTTATCCCAATCATTGCTCTGCTAGCTTTCAGTTTTTCTGTAAGTTCTGTTCAGTTTTACGACCCCAAGGTTAGCAAAAATCTGACCTTTCCATGGGTCTATGTGGGATGAACCACTTTTATACAAGAATCAGAGTAATACAGTAACTTCCCCATTAAAGACATCTATTGGCTCCATTAAAGACCTAACTGGAGTTCGTACAACACGATTAAGAAGGATATCTGGCTATTACTGTGACACATATTTTAACTTACTAAGTCGAATTACAATGCTGATGCAATATCAAGATATCAATTTCTAGGAATTTAATGAAATTTCTAGAGTGGATGCCTAATGTAGAGAAGAAAATAAACATATCTTAAATTTAGGTTAGCAGGAGAAAATATTTGTAGAAATAGTTTCTCGGGTATTTATATCCCAGCTGACTGGAAAAACTACAGACGAGTAAAATTTTCTCCTCTACAATTTTAAGGTATTGCCTGAGGCATATAATAAAAGACAGAATAATGGGAGATTCAGAAACAAAAACTTTAGCAATCAGAACTGGGATGGAGGCTAGAGGAACAAGGGGTGAGAGGATTTACTAGGGATAAGAGTGGGAAACAGAACTGAGATACAATGTTGAGGGGAGCAGTGAGTGAGACCAGAGAGGTCTGCTGTTTCTTAGTGGGTCACTCCCTGACCAGGGACTGAACTCAGACCACTGTGGCTGGCAGTAGCTTGATAGCACTGAAACTTTAACTCCTGTGCCACCGGGGGGCCCAAGAGGTGGCATTTTTGTGAATTTATTGACACTTTTAGGTTTGCAACCCAAAATAAGATCTTTTTCCTGAAGAATGTTCCATATGCACTTGAGAAAATTGTGTACTCAGCTATTTTGCCCTATAAATGTCTATTAAGCCCATGTGATCTAATTTTTTTTTTAAAGATTTATTTATTTACGCATACAGAACTGGGGTACAAGCCAGAGGTGTGGTGGGTGAGAGGATTCACTAGAGACAGAGCGGGGAGCAGAAAAGGCCCGACTGATGAAGTACACTGCTGAGGGGAGCAGCGGGTGGGTCAGGAGAGGTCTGCCGTGCCATGTGGGTCACCTCCAGGGCAGGCAGGTATCGAAATTATGTGGAAGTGGCAGGGACAGCCCATCTCTGCTGTTTTTAGGATCCCATTTACTTCTAGGATTGTTTTTCAAACATTTACTTTGACTTATGTTTAACTTTGGAGCTCAGGTAGGTCTCTTGGAGATAGAAGAAAGTTAGGTTTTGTTTTCTGATCCAGTAAGTCACTCAGTCTTTTGATTGGTGAGTTCCGTCTACTTAAACTTAGGCTGACTGTTGATATATGAGGATTAGTGACGGCAAATGTTTTCCGTTTTCTGCTTCAAGTTTCTCCAGTTTTTGTTTTTGTTTTTGTTTTTTTTTGGTGATTTTTCTTCTGTTTAGATATGAGTCCCTTTCTACATATTTTGTAAGTGTGATAGCAAAACTTCTTCAACAAACTTCTGTTTGTCTGGGAAAACTTTCCTTTTCCCTTCACAGCTATATCTTGTAGGATATACTATTCTTGATCTGTAATTGTTGTCTAAAATATATTGTATATGTCTTTCCACTCTCTTTGCTTGTACTCTTTCTTCAGAAAAAGGCTTCTGATGTAGGCCTGTTTGTGGTGCCTTCATAAGTTACCTACTTCCAACTATCCTTTACCCTTCAATAGTCTCTCTTTGTTTTCAACTCTTGGAAGTTTCACTATTGTGTGTCTTGGTGTAGGTATCATTACATTTAGATAACCAAGTGTTTTTTCATCTTTATGGATTTGTACATTTAATTCTTCCCCAAGGTTTGGGAAATTTTCCTCTACTAATTCTTTGAATATGTTCTGTGTTCTCTTCTCTTGCTGTTCCTCTTCAGGGATACACATTATTCTTTTCTAATGGAGTTGAATGGGTCATGGAAATCCTTCTCTCCCTTCCTTCCTTACTTTATTTTATTTTATTTCTCTTTGTTGTATTTCTCTTTCTTATTCTACCTGAGTCCTTTGTGCATTACTATCTTGGATGTCCCTGATTTGATCCCCCATTTGGTTTATCTTGTTTCATAGCTTTCTGCCAATTCTTGAAATCTCCTCTGTGCATCTTTTACATCCTGCAAATCTGTTTAATTTTTAAAGCTTCAATTTCTATTTTCTGTTCATAAATTATGCTCATAATTAATTTTTCTGAATGCTATTGTATCTATTTGATTAGATTTTCAGAGTTCTATTGTATCACTTTGACTTACATCTCTGAATTTTCTTCCATTTATTCATCATGGCACTTTTGAACTCTATCTGATAAGAAGATATAATATTTTATGTTGTTGTTGTTGGATTCTGGAGAGTGTTTTTTTCCTTGTTATGTCATGTTATCTTGAGGTCTCAAGATGCCAAAAATTGTAGTTTTTTTTAATCTTCCCATTCTGCTGCTTTAGATTTCCTTTTTGTAAATAGCACACTTAGATATATGCACTACTTCTACTTTTCCAGCAGGTGGATCTGTGGATTTATGTGATTTTACACTTTTGGTCTTTCCCAGCTACCTTAGGTTAAAGAAATCTGTTGTTGCAGCTGATGAACTGGGGATAGGAAAAGGTTCCACAGCTGGTGTGAATGTGCTGGATGGTGGGGGTGGGGGAGGGCTTATGTTTGTGGCTCTTCCATAGTCCTCCATTTTTGGGTTCCAGACCTAAGCCTCTGTGTGTTCTCATTGTACTTGAGTAGGGCAGTACCAGTGGAGGAAGTGGACAGGAGGCAGGCTTTCCAGCATATTGCTCTTATTCTTTTGACTAGGGACCAAGTTCTTCCACACGTTTCCCCTCAGTCAAATGCCAACCACTCAACTCTCTGCTACCCAGGTCACCAGCTGAGTTGTAGTATTGCAGTTTGTAGGTCATCTTCCTTACAAAAGACTTCAGCCTCTAGGCTTTCTTCACCTTTTTTGATCAGCTGTGGAATGAAACATGAATATCCTCAGTGTTCCCTTTGGGTCAGTGTTCCCTGTTGGTCTCTGATGTCCAAAAGATGCTACAGTTTCAACCTGAGTAATAAGCACCTTTAGGTTTAGTGCTCCTCGGATAACTTCTAGATTTGACTCCATAAAACAGAATGACTCTCTGATATGGCTCAAACCACCTCATTTAATATCTTCAACTAAAGATAAGATGTGTTGGAGAGGGGGAAGAGAAGGATAATTGTGGAAGATTACCAAGAAGGGTCAGGACCCAACAGTAAAATCACTATGCATGTGAAGTTAATGCCATTACCACTGGTCAGAGTTTCCCAAGATATGTTTATTCCAATCTTCTGGGAGATCCTGGGCATCCCTTCACAAATGGAGATTTTCCCTTAAACATACATCCTTTAGAAGACTGGTATCATCTAGTTTGTTTTTCAGAGGCTTTTTTTCATGGCTTTAAAAAAAATCATCTGCTCAAAAAATCCTTTTACTAAAAACATACATACAGTCATCAAATTTGTTACTCTGCAGATTATTCTGACCAAAGTTGTTAATGAATTGAAAGCAAACAAAAACAAAAGGAAAACTACGATTAAGAAAAGTTGCTTTGATGCTACATGGCAATCTGTTATAAGTAGGAAACTCACCTTTATTCTCCTTATTTAATTTTTTGCTTTGGACTTGCTGTCATTGTAATCTACAGAAATGTTTTGTTGTGCAGTTCACTCAACAAAATGCAGCATGTTGGAACCAACACTGTCTGTTAAGTCCAGAGAGAGATGTGAGAGCTTGGAGCACTAGCCCTCACATGGCCCAAACTCCAGGCAGAATCCATGTCCTAAAGGAGCACACCCAGGCCGGAGACACCCCCACCCTACAGTTCTCACCCCTTGCCCCCCTCTCTGTCACGCAGCAGCAGCCTCCTCAGTGCCCCCTTCACATCTTTGTTCCTGAGCGTGTAGATCAGGGGGTTCAAGAGCGGGGTGACTGTGCTGTAAAAGAGGGCGAGGAACTTGCCCTGGTCCTGGGAGGAGCTGTTTCCCGGCTGCATGTACATGTAGATGATGTTTCCGTAGAAGAGAGACACGACGGTCAGATGGGAGCCACAGGTGTTGAAGACCTTTTGTAACCCTGACGCTGAGCGAATCTGTAACACGGCCCTCACGATGCAGCCATAGGAGACTAGAATCAAGATGAGGGGTATCAGCACGATGATCACAGCCAGGAAAAAGACCGTGGCTTCCACTGCTGTTGTATTGACACAGGCTATCCTGATCAGGGCAGGTAACTCACACACGAAGTGGTTCACTCTGTTGTGACCACAGCGGGGTAAATGCAGGGTAATAGAGGGCATGACCACGGAGTTGGCTGCGCCACAGCCCCAGGCCACGGACACCAAGACCGTGCAGAGCCGGGGGCTCATGATGACCATGTAGTGCAGGGGCTTGCAGACCGCGACGAACCTGTCGTAGGCCATGACCGCCAGCAGCAGGCACTCCACAGTGCCCAGCCCCAGGAACAGGCAGAGCTGGACGGCGCAGCCCGCGTAGCTGATGGTCTTGTCCCGGCCGCCGAGGTTGTACAGCAGCTGCGGGATGGAGCTGGTGGTGAAGCAGAGGTCCAGGAAGGAGAGGTGCGTGAGGAAGAAGTACATGGGGGTGCGCAGCTGGGCGTCGAGCCGGCACAGCAGGATGATGGTGGTGTTGCCCAGCAGCGTGAGCAGATAGGCCGCGAGGATGACCACGAAGAGGCTCCTCTCCAGACGGGGCCGGTCGGAGAAGCCCAAGAGGACGAAGCCGCCCTGGGCGCTGTCGTTGGCTGCCTCCATGCCGGCGGGGGCCTGTGGCCGCTCAGCTGCTGGCGCCAGAGAGGGACGCTCGGCGGGAGCCGGACGCGCCTCTGCGCCTGGCCGTGGCCGTGCGTCCCGCAGCTGTGACCGGCGCTGGCCCGCTGCCCCGCCTGCGGAAAGGGAAGCCGAGGCAGGTGTGTTGGCAGGGGGTGACTGTGCGGGGCGGAGCAGGGGCCACCCGGAACACCCGCGCCCGGTCCCAGTGACAGAGGGGCGCCTTGAGCACAGGCACGGCCCCAGACGCGGTCCCGAGCGCCCGTGGGCCTCGGACCCTGCGCCCGGGGCGGGCAGCGTCCATCGGTGAGGACGCGCTGTCTGCTCAGCACTGGGACACCCGGCTCCCCTCCCTGCCGCTGGAGTAGCCACCCGGTCAGGGGCGGTAATTAATGGATGAGACAAATAAAATTCTTCAAATGCGACACATACCTCCAATTACTCCGTAATTCTGTCTCGTATTAGCAGAATGGAGTACATTTTGTATGTAAAAGACTATCTACTTTTTGTAGGTGAATAATCATGAACTTTTTGGTAGCAGATCAAACCACTGTTTGTAACAGTCTCTGATTTATCTCCACTTTGCGCTGACGCCTGTGAAGTGCCCTCCTGGGACACTTTCCACTCCAGACACCTGCTTCAAGGTGTCACTGAGCCCACTCCTGCGGGGCAGAGCTTGGACCTGCTTGGTTCCTGCCCAGCTGCCCAGTTTTCATCCCCGAGCAACAAGATACAGCTGTGAGGTTTGCAAAGCTTCTTGATACACTGCCTAGTTTTCTTATCTAAAATTTCCTCATTTGTTTTACAGGGATGGTCTGAAATTTAATGTGTATGAACATTGGTACCCTGAAAGTTTCTAAACATCTTACAGTAAGTTTGTTGCTCAGAGAAAGGAGGAACAGAGCTTATGAAAGTAGACAGAGAAATAAAAAAAAAAAATCTAACGAGGAGGATCTGTCCTCATCATACGCCCAAACTTAATTTAAAAACAGAATCATTAAAACATGGTGACGGGGCTTGGGGCTGTGTGGACTCGCACTCGGCCTTCACACCAAAACTGCTGGTCGCTGTGTAAATGCCGAGGAAGCGCTGCGCATCTGAAGTGCTTGTGCTTTCAAGCGCCCTGATCTTCTTGGGTTCAAAGGGGTCGCCAGGCAAGGATCTATCCTAAAGGCAACACAGGAAAAGTTAAATCTGGTTGCATATTTAAAAACAATCCGTGGTCTGGGGAACACAGACGCTCTAGTGGAGACTAGAGAAAATTGGCGTGGACTTTGACAACGGTCTTGTTCACTGTTTTCAAGAAGCTGATGAGAAAAGTCAGCACAATAAAAAGAGGAGTGGCGTGAATTTGGCGTCTGCTGAAAGACCAGCGATTTAGGAGCAACATGACTCTGAAACATTAGGCTTTTCTCACTTATGACTAGGGCATAAAAAAGAAAATTCAAGATTCCTGTTTGCTGGGCAGGGGTGCGACTTTACACGTGACATGTGCGCAGCTAGGGAAGCTGCCGGGAGCCATTCCCATGAAATGGTGCGTTTGTGGGGACGTTTGCAGGAATCTCGAAAGAAGACAATTAAGGCCGCCCGCGCGTGCGGCCCTGTGCCTGTCGCCTCTATAAACTTTCTCCCCCAAGTTCGTCTAGTGTCTGTGCGATCATTCTTTCTGGGTCTAGGTGCCCGCCCTGCTTTTGTTAACTTCAGTGTCGCTAGATGTGCAGAAGAGGCTTCGCTGTGTCATTGACTGAAGCGGGGCAGACGCGGCCGAGGCCGACCGAGGGCACAGACGCAGCAGTAGCAACCTCAGGGCCGGGCAAGCCGCGACCGCCCGCCAAGGAAGTGCGGTACTTGCCGCAGCGGCCTCACTCCCAGGGCAGGCACAAGGGGGGTTGTGTCCCCAGCTCCTGCAGCGCACAGCGCGTGCGCTGGGCTGGGGCAGCGCTGGGAGCGGGGTGGGGCCAGGCCGCCCTCTCCGGGACCCCTTGTTCCGAACAGTGGTACATTTCAGAAGGCCTCGGGAGCACGCGGTGTGCAGAGTTGAGGACCTGCTGTGTTTCCCTGCGGCTGTCTTCTGAATTTGCTGATATATCACCTCTGTGGACACGCGCACCCCCTCCTCGGCAGATCTTTCAAAAATCATACTAACAGATTGCCGGGAACGAAAAGTAGAGAGCAGGCAGGCACAGCAGGAAGGGGAGAGTCGGAAGTAAAGTGTCTGCCGTCAGGAAAGCACCCAAACGGATTCGGGTAGACTCAGGAGTTATAAACGCACAAAACATAGGGCCACAGCGACGCCAGTGGGACCTTCAGTCTAGGGGAGCGAGCAAAATCAAGCCAGCTTGTCAGAGAATCACGAGTGAGGATGTGGATTTGGGAGGGAGCAGAACAGAGCGACCAGAATTGTTTTTCCGGCAACTCGAGTTTCAGTTCCTTCATAAGGTGGCTCGTCTTACTCTGGAAGGTGACTTGCAGGAGTTACAGGCAGGAGTGCGGTTAGGCTGGTGAAGATTCCGGGGAGGACGGGCTGCAGCGCGCCCACGCCCCCTCGGCTCCCCCGCCAACTCCCCACTGCCAGTGAAAAGCCTGTAGAGACGCAGCGCTCCAGCCCCTGTGGCCTCTCGGCCTGCTCAGCCTGGCTGTGGCCCCAGCCTTGCGGGGCGGGCGGGTCACCGCTGCCACTCGAGCTCCTCTGGGATCCTGTTTTCAGAGTGGGTGGCCAGCCCCGCCACCCCAGCGGCCCTGCCCATGACCAGGGTTGAGAACACCCCCCAGCAGATTCTGCTGAATGCCCACGTTTCAAAGCCCCTTTCTGTTGTCTGCTAGACGAAACCTGGGTTCTCTTAACTGTTAGTAGTAACATAAAAAAGAGATTTAATTTTACCTGCGCCCAGTGTCCCTGTGGAGGTGGCCGCGGGGGGCTGACAGCTGCTCAGAGAGGAGAAAAGGACCCGCCCTGCATGTGGGGTGTGCGGCAGCCTGGGGTGACGGGTCTGACGTGCCCGAGCGCGGGGACGCCGTCCTCCCTGTGTCTGCTCGAGCTCCCAGGGGCTGGTCTGTCAGCACCTCACACAGACTGGCCTGGCCCCGCTGGCCTCCTCCCAGGCTGCCCGCTGCTCACCGTCCAGGCCGGGGTGCAGGTGGAGCGGGGACCTCGGCTGGTCAGGGTCTTCTCCTGGAGCGCCCCGTGGTCCAGGCAGGTGTGCGCAGTGTGTGGACGGAGGGCGCCTCTCCTGGCTGGCTGTCCCCGTAGCAGCACGGGGATGTGGGTACTTGTGCCGCGGGGCCCTGGCAGTGGGGTGCGGCGAGGCTCGCCTGGGGAGCACGGTGGCCCGGTGTCCTGGGCTCTCCGCGGCCCGGCGTGAGGGGCCTTGTGAGCCACCAGGGTCATTACTCAGACGCTGAGGTGCGTTACAGGCAGGATCCCATCCAGCTCCCCAGGGCCCGCCGCGTCCAGCAGGAAACGAGGACCTTGAGAATTCGTTCCTTGATGTAACAAAGTCTTGTTTCATGCTTGCAGGAGCAAGCACCAGCCCGTGGGCTCAGTAAGCCCAGGCCCTGAGGCGCTGGCTCCTCTGGCCCTGGGCGCAGGATGTGCACACAGGGACTGGGGCAGGGCCAGCGCCTGCTGGCGCCATCTCCTCGTCTACTGAATGTGGGACACTGTGCTGACGTGGATTTTTTTTGAAGGATTTTTGCTTGGAAAAGAAAGTTATATTTTCTAGAATGTAGAAAGCTTCCACAGGTGCATCCACTAGTAGGAGGGTTTTAGAAACTGAAGAGGTGCCACTGTGTGCATGATTGCCGCAGTATCTAGACAGCATCCGGTGAAAATAGATGAGTAACGATAGAAATTGGGTCCCTGTTAGCAAAGTGCCAGTGTCAGATACAACCCAACTATTTTAATGAGTTTGTTAGGAGATTCATGTAACCTTCCAGGACCGAGGCTATTCCTGCCTTCCTTTGGGCCCTACTTGCTCTCAGAGTTCTTTTCTGTCCCTTAACTGTCAGTCAGTGTATGTCCTTGGGTCTTAGGTGCATTGCCTGGAGGTAGCAGAAGCTTGGATTCTGTAGAGGTTACATGTCTTTTTTTTATTAATGAGATCACTTCATTGATGCTTGGAGTGGTTATTGATATGTAGAAGTCTCATACTGCCACTTTGTGGTGCTATTTCATCCTTGTTCATTTCTTTGTCTTCATTCCTGTCTTTGCTTTACGTCCCAAAACCCCTTCTACTGTTTCTTGCAGGGGGGTTAGTGGATGCAGATTCCCTGAGATTTTCTTTGAGAAGGTCCTTATTCCTCTCTCATACTGGAAGAACTTTGCAGAACAAAGTATTCTTGGCCAGCACTTTTTGTCTTGGAGTATTTTGAACGTGTCATGCCATTCTCTTCTTGCCTGCAGTGTTTCCTCAGAGCAGTCTAGTGTTAGCCTAGTCAGGATTCCCTCTAGGTCATCTGTTTCTTTCCCCTTGCTAGTGTCATTGCTTGGAAGTTTTACTTTGTGTCTTGCTGAAGTTTCCTTTTATCCAGTAGGCTGGTTCATGTTATTTCTAAATGTTCATTTCCTTCTTCAAGTTTGGGTAGTTTTCTTACACTATTTACTCAGACAGTTTTTTAGATTACCTTCTCTCTCTTCTCCGTATGGGATTCCTGTGGTTCTTAAATTTCCTTTCCTCACAGTGTCAGATAATTTTCAGCATTTCTTCATTCTTTTCACTTTGTATCTCTCCTTTTTGCATCATTTCCTCACTCTCATTTCCAAGGTTACCGTTTCATGTTCCATTTGGTTTACTTACTTCCATGGCTTTCTCCTGAAATTTAATTTCTGCCATTGACCTTTTTACTTCCTTCACTTCCGTTATTTTCTTGTTTAATGTGTCAATTTTGATTTCTTGTTCGTTGATTATTTCTCCTGGCCTTCATTTCCTTTTCTAAGTTTTCTCTGCTCTGGTTTTCTGAGTTTCATTTTTATTGCTCCAAGTCTTTATTTTTGTAATTATGATATTTTGAATTCTATGTTCAACAGGCAAAAATGGCCTTCCATGTTTTTGTGCTTTTATTCCAGGGTTTTGTGTTCTTCCTGTGGAATATTTCCTCCTGAGGGCTTTGTTGGCTACTTGTAATTTTCTTTCTCCCCATGATCTGCTGTAGTTGGAGCTTTTGCTGTGTAGAGGTTATTCTCTTCCACTGTCCTGGTGTTTCCCTGATGGTGGGTGTGGCTACTTTGTGATTTTGGGGTGGTGCCAGCGTCTCCCTGTTTCCCTTCCACGTCTTGTTGCAGTGTCTGCAAGAGCTGGGATGGCACTGGGTTGAACAGTTGAGTTGCCAGAACTATATCCCACCCAGGAGAAGTGATGTTTGTGGTGGCTGGGGGAGGTTTCAGTACATTGGGTAAGGAACCAAGATGCTGAGACCTTACTGTGCCTGGGATCCGTGACTCTGGTGGGTGCTTCTGGTGGCTGGGAGAGCAGGAGGCAACCTGGGCACGGGGCCAAGTCTCTGGAACACAGACCTGCCAAGGAGCAGTGGCTCTGGGCTTATTTCCAACTTTTATTTGACTTTCCATGTAATGTAACATACGAAGCAACTCCTGTTTCACTTTATATTTCTCCTTTAATGAGGAGAATTTGCAGCACCCTTTGGGAGGCATAAAAATCAATTCTACATCATAAATAGTTCATTTAGAGTTTGGTTTTAGGGAATATAGCCAATATTAAGAAGCTTAGGGCAAGATAAAATAGTACCACAGACCACTATGAAGCGAATACAGACGGAACACATTTCTGTGTCAACTTACCACCTTTCATATGAAGAAGACAAGGTCACAATAATAAGGAAATTATTGAACTAAAAATGTCCCTCATGGGCCCTCCCTGGCGGCACAGCAGACTGGAGCATGGCCCTGCAAACCTGACCGCAGCTGCTGTGTGAGAGTTCAGTCCCCACCCTGGCGGTGAGCCACAGGGTGCGCAGACCTCTCCTGACCCACCGGGAGCTCCCCTCAACAGTGTGCTTTATTGATCTGCCTGTTCTGCTCCCCACTTTGTCTCTGGTGAATCCTCTCGCCCCTGCACCTCTGGCTTGTACCCCAGCTCTGTACGCATAAATAACTAAAATCTTTAAAAAAAAAATCCCTTACTTTGTAGGCAGATCATTCAAAGGTAAAGAAGAATATTTCACAATCTCCTATCAGCGGCAGAACTAAGAGTCTGTAAAAGCTCCGTCCACTTACCATTAAGTTAAGGTCCATTTTCACAAGAGAGCACTAATGACATTGATATTCACTTAGAAAACCCTGCAACTTTAAAGAATTTCATTGAACAGGTCATATTTTACCTTTCTGTCCCTTTGGATCTTGGTCGCCATGTTTCTGCTTCTCTCTCTCTCTTTACCATTTGAAATAGCCTGTTTGAGTTTCAGGAAAATGTTATTATCCTTTCTTTAATAATACTATCTCCAGATACCCCCCCCTTTTATGGTCAGCAATTCAGTATTTTTCATTATAGAAAGAGTGCCCCCTCATTTTTCTAGTAGTGTTACATATATTAATTCAAATGGATGTGTTTTAGGAAGTTTTATTACTAATGAAAACTCTGAAATTACAGTAGTAGCCTTCAGGTCGGCTGATTGGCAGGTGTATTACGCTTCCTGGAAATGGGTGCTCCTTCATAACGTACAACTTTAAATGTGGCCTATTTACTAACAGACCCAGATATCTCCAGCTGCTCTGGAATGAGAAGCTAAGAGTAGACTGGGTCAGTGTGGCGGCTGGTGACCCAGGCGCCACTGGTATGGACTTGACTCCAGGACACATGCCATGCAGTGCACGCTGTTGGCAGAGGGCAGCAGGCAGCTGGCTCCCCCGCAGCTCTGTAAATACTCGCACCAAATAGGCACGTCCACCGTCACAGAGCCCCACGAGACGAGAGGAAGTCCACAAGGCTCCGAAGGTATTTTTCTCTTGACCACCTTGTGACAGAGGGTGTGAACACCGACTAGAAAAACAGGTGGAGGGGCTGCGCGCCACTGGCCTCAGCATGCCACCGTGACTGAAGACAGGCCTCTGCTAGAGAGCGGGACACGCTGGCTTTTGTTTATGAAGGCGCCTCCCAGGTGAGAGGAAGTAATCTGAGTTAGGTTTTCTATTTTTGAGAGACAGAAATCTGAATATCTGTAAGTTCTTAATTGGAAACCAAATAAATAGCCATCTTACAGATTACCATTAACAGCGCCTTTCCATCGTAGAAATATCAGACTTGGATTAAACACACACACACTCAAACACACACACACACACACACCCTGCTGGGTGCTAGAAGTTTGCCATGGACAAGCCACAGAATAAAAGCGATGAGTTCATTAAAGACAGTCATGTCCAAATTTTGTTTCTGGTAGTGGGAAAAATTTATTTTACCTGCTCAGATAGCTGAAGCTGTTTACTGCTTTGTGAAGACACTTAAGATTTCCATCTTCAAATATCCCAATAGTAGCTTCCTTTTCCCTTCACTGTGAGAATTATTGCCACAAAAATTGCATGTTTAAGACTAGGTCCTAGAAATGTGGGGGTAGAAAATTCCCATTTCAAAGGTATAAGAAATTATCATTTCCCTCCCGAGATTGAAGTTAGGGTGTCTGACTGTTGGCAAAGGTCTAGAGTGATTACTATTGATTTCTCCTTCTCCGTCCTAAGTTGGGCCCATTCTGTTTCCAGTCCCTGACCTTTCTCACTATCTACAGCTTTGAAAGGAATGAATGTGGTTGGCTATGGGCAGAAGAGGGTGGGATGTGAGCTGTGTCTGGACTGCACATGCGTGTCTGTGAGGCTGTGTCAGACAGACACCTGCTTCGTGCCCAAGCACAGTGTCCACGGGCTCCCTGAGGCCATCCCCACCCAGCACTTTCTCTTCAACATGCGCCGAAGTCCATTCCAATGAGGACGGCGTCATAAGATACCGTTGCTCGGATCTTGAGTGTTAAGTGTAGTTCAGGAAACGATGGGGTTCACGAAGGAATCTTGGGTCCCCTCTGAGTAAGGTTTTGCAGTTTTCTGTTCAGCGGCGCATGCAGATAGCATTAAGGACAAAGACACCCACATAAATGCAGGAGGCAGAGCCTGCCCTGGCCGGTGCCAGCCTTACTGGGGAGGACGGAAGGCGCCGTTGGCATAGACCCGGCGTGCAAGGAGCGGCGTCTGGGTAGAATCTCCTTCTTAACTTTGTAACTGTGAACTCTAACTACTCCGTGTGAAGTACCCAACATTGGTAAAAGATTAAAGCTAAACAACAGGAGGACAGCTGAGGAGTCGCCACCACCTTACACTGCCACAGGCGACTCTTCTGCTGTTAGGGAACTTGTGCCGCCCTTGAATGACCTCTGCGGCCAGGGGGCTCTGGGCGCTCAGGGTCGTGTGGGTCACTCACACGCAGCATGTTGGAAGCGCTGTGCCCGTGGGCCCGGGAAGATGCGTGCAGCTAACTCGACAGGACCTCAAGTGCACCTGTCCGCCCTGGCTAATGTTGTGCTTGGGTGAGCGCACTCCCTGGTAAGGCGACAGACAAGTCAGCAGCGCACTGTGCGCTCTGTCCTGTGAACAGCTGCAGCCCACTACTTTCTTCAAGTAGAAGCTACAAGAAGGCGCAGGCGCGGTGCAAACATGCACCCCACTCCCTGCATCGGACACATTTCCTGTTTTTCCCTGCAAGAACAGACCCGTGGGCAGTCCTAATAAACATACTGGGACTCCAGACCCCAAGCTCCTGCTTCATTCTCTCGCGGCTCTGAGCCACCTGTGTTCGGGCGAACGTAGCGGTCAGCACACCCCTTGGTGGGTTAGCAGCAGATGCGGACCCGGGAGCTCAGGTCCTCACGTGGCGCGAGCCCAGGCGCCATGGCGTCCCGAGGGAGCACACCCAGGCCGGACACCCCGCTCCCCGCGGCCTCACCCCTTGCCCCCCTCTTTGTCACGCAGCAGCAGCCTCCTCAGGGCCCCCTTGACGTCTTTGTTCCTGAGCGTGTAGATCAGGGGGTTCAAGAGCGGGGAGACGGAGCTGTAGAAGAGGGTGAGGAACTTGCCCTGGTCCTGGGAGGAGCTGTTTCCTGGCTGCATGTACATGTAGATGATGTTTCCGTAGAAGAGAGACACGACGGCCAGGTGGGAGCCACAGGTGTTGAAGACCTTCCGAACCCGCGAGGCCGAGCGGATCCGCAGCACGGCCCTCACGATGCAGCCGTAGGAGGCCAGGATCAGCGCCAGGGGCGTCAGCACGATGATGATACCAAGGACAAAGACTGTGGCCTCCAGGGCCGTGGTGTCCACACAGGCTATCCTGATGAGGGCCGGCACCTCACACAGGAAGTGGTTCACTCTGTTGTGACCACAGCGGGGCACATATAGGGTGACCGGGGACATGACAATGGAGTTGGCCATGCCACAGCCCCAGGCCACGGACACCAAGACCGTGCAGAGCCGGGGGCTCATGATGACCATGTAGTGCAGGGGCTTGCAGACCGCGACGAACCTGTCGTAGGCCATGACCGCCAGCAGCAGGCACTCCGCGCCGCCCAGCCCCAGGAACAGGCAGAGCTGGACGGCGCAGCCCGCGTAGCTGATGGTCTTGTCCCGGCCGCCGAGGTTGTACAGCAGCTGCGGGATGGAGCTGGTGGTGAAGCAGAGGTCCAGGAAGGAGAGGTGCGTGAGGAAGAAGTACATGGGGGTGCGCAGCTGGGCGTCGAGCCGGCACAGCAGGATGATGGTGGTGTTGCCCAGCAGCGTGAGCAGATAGGCCGCGAGGATGACCACGAAGAGGCTCCTCTCCAGACGGGGCCGGTCGGAGAAGCCCAAGAGGACGAAGCCGCCCTGGGCGCTGTCGTTGGCCGCCTCCATGCCGGCGGGGGCCTGTGGCCGCTCAGCTGCTGGCGCCAGAGAGGGACGCTCGGCGGGAGCCGGACGCGCCTCTGCGCCTGGCCGTGGCCGTGCGTCCCGCAGCTGTGACCGGCGCTGGCCCGCTGCCCCGCCTGCGGAAAGGGAAGCCGAGGCAGGTGTGTTGGCAGGGGGTGACTGTGCGGGGCGGAGCAGGGGCCACCCGGAACACCCGCGCCCGGTCCCAGTGACAGAGGGGCGCCTTGAGCACAGGCACGGCCCCAGACGCGGTCCCGAGCGCCCGTGGGCCTCGGACCCTGCGCCCGGGGCGGGCAGCGTCCATCGGTGAGGACGCGCTGTCTGCTCAGCACTGGGACACCCGGCTCCCCTCCCTGCCGCTGGAGTAGCCACCCGGTCAGGGGCGGTAATTAATGGATGAGACAAATAAAATTCTTCAAATGCGACACATACCTCCAATTACTCCGTAATTCTGTCTCGTATTAGCAGAATGGAGTACATTTTGTATGTAAAAGACTATCTACTTTTTGTAGGTGAATAATCATGAACTTTTTGGTAGCAGATCAAACCACTGTTTGTAACAGTCTCTGATTTATCTCCACTTTGCGCTGACGCCTGTGAAGTGCCCTCCTGGGACACTTTCCACTCCAGACACCTGCTTCAAGGTGTCACTGAGCCCACTCCTGCGGGGCAGAGCTTGGACCTGCTTGGTTCCTGCCCAGCTGCCCAGTTTTCATCCCCGAGCAACAAGATACAGCTGTGAGGTTTGCAAAGCTTCTTGATACACTGCCTAGTTTTCTTATCTAAAATTTCCTCATTTGTTTTACAGGGATGGTCTGAAATTTAATGTGTATGAACATTGGTACCCTGAAAGTTTCTAAACATCTTACAGTAAGTTTGTTGCTCAGAGAAAGGAGGAACAGAGCTTATGAAAGTAGACAGAGAAATAAAAAAAAAAAATCTAACGAGGAGGATCTGTCCTCATCATATGCCCAAACTTAATTTAAAAACAGAATCATTAAAACATGGTGACGGGGCTTGGGGCTGTGTGGACTCGCACTCGGCCTTCACACCAAAACTGCTGGTCGCTGTGTAAATGCCGAGGAAGCGCTGCGCATCTGAAGTGCTTGTGCTTTCAAGCGCCCTGATCTTCTTGGGTTCAAAGGGGTCGCCAGGCAAGGATCTATCCTAAAGGCAACACAGGAAAAGTTAAATCTGGTTGCATATTTAAAAACAATCCGTGGTCTGGGGAACACAGACGCTCTAGTGGAGACTAGAGAAAATTGGCGTGGACTTTGACAACGGTCTTGTTCACTGTTTTCAAGAAGCTGATGAGAAAAGTCAGCACAATAAAAAGAGGAGTGGCGTGAATTTGGCGTCTGCTGAAAGACCAGCGATTTAGGAGCAACATGACTCTGAAACATTAGGCTTTTCTCACTTATGACTAGGGCATAAAAAAGAAAATTCAAGATTCCTGTTTGCTGGGCAGGGGTGCGACTTTACACGTGACATGTGCGCAGCTAGGGAAGCTGCCGGGAGCCATTCCCATGAAATGGTGCGTTTGTGGGGACGTTTGCAGGAATCTCGAAAGAAGACAATTAAGGCCGCCCGCGCGTGCGGCCCTGTGCCTGTCGCCTCTATAAACTTTCTCCCCCAAGTTCGTCTAGTGTCTGTGCGATCATTCTTTCTGGGTCTAGGTGCCCGCCCTGCTTTTGTTAACTTCAGTGTCGCTAGATGTGCAGAAGAGGCTTCGCTGTGTCATTGACTGAAGCGGGGCAGA